TTTTTAAAATATTTTTTATTAATTAATTTTTGGCCAATCAGAACACAAGAAATCACAAAGGCATCAAATTTCAATATAAAATTTTTGAATATAGGACAAATATAGTCTTTAAGTGTCGTGCACTATACATACCCCTACAATAAATTATCAGATTTTGATTATATGATAATGACGATCACTGATCTTTAAACTTTAATTTTTTATTTCTATAAAAAGAATACAAAAGTTTAATCTAATACTATATAAAATAAGGTCTCTATTTTTTAATAAAAGTAAAAAAAACTAGTATTTGAAATGCTAGCCTTTAGCTTTAAGAATAGCTTTGACTCAGGCAGGCATACTTAAAATTAGATTACATAAGACTTCTAAAGGAATTTTTGTCTATTCTTCTTGCACGGCCTTAATTAATTCATTTTTTGAGCTGGGCAAGAGTTTCCTTTTTCAAACTTGACAATCAACATAATTCTATAGATGTTCGATTAGGTTTAAATCTGGGCTATACAGAACCCAATCCAGAACTGAAATACTATGTGTTTTCATTCACCATTCTGTATATTGTGCTGTGTGATATAGAGCTAAATCTTGTTGAAATATTAAATTTGGATCATTATACATCTACGGTATTAAATAATTTGCAAGAACATTAACATATACGTCGGAATTCATATTTTCATCAACTATTATTAATGGTCCAACACTATCTCAACTAAAGTATCTCCAAAATATTATAGATCCACTGTCATATTTAAAAATAGGTTTAATACAGTTTACATTATAATCTTCACCTACTCTTCGCCATACTTTTGTATATCCATCAGATCTAAACAAAGCAAATCTTGATTCATCTGACCAAACAATATGTTTCCATTTCTCATTCCAACTACGTTTTATTCAGCACCATTTTAATCATTTAATACGATCCTTTTTTTTAAAAAAGGTTTAAAACGAGCAACATGATCCCTTAAGCCAAGACTATGAAGATAGTTACAAATAGTATTGGAATAGTAAGTTGCATTAAAATTGAAATTGAATTCGTTTGTAACTTTATTAAGAGGTAAAAATCTATCCTTCAAAATGACCTTCTGTAAAGAATATTGATCACAGGATGAAAGAGCTTTTGAATGACCAGGTTATTTTTTAGAATGTGGAGAACCAGTTTTTTTATAATGATCAATAGTATCATATACTGTTGTATGGGCAATGCTCAGCACAGCTGATATTTTTGGAGCATTTGCATTTGCAAGATGGGCACTAATTATCTGGTCTCTTTGCTCGTTCATCAATTCGTTTCCACGCATGTTTGGTACGAAAAAAATCTATAAAAAAAACTAGTTTTTATGAACATAGTTAACAATTGTGTTTCTATCTATAAAGAGAAACAAAAGGCTTTGAAAATACTTATCTTCGAAATTGATCTTTACTGTACCGACAAAATCTGGTAATTTATTGTAGGGGTGTGTATTGCTACCAAAATTATATACATAATATAAAGCTTTAATTTATTTATTAATATTTTAATAATATGAAATATAATAATAATAACAATAATGATAATATTTAATTAATAATATATATAATAATATAAATAATATTTAAAGTTTTATTTTTTTGCTTTACTATAATTTGCTAAAATAGAAAATAAATATTTTACACATTGTTGTTTGTTCTGTCAAATTATAAAACCTATTTTGTATTTCAAAATAATTAAAAATATGCTTTAAGTATTTACTCTTATAAGTGAAAGCAGAAAAAAGAAGTATAAAAATTAAATTTTAAACAATATTTGCAAGAAAAAAAAAATTAATATAGAATTTAAAAGCTTGAATATATAATATATAAAAAACTTACAGATATTAATAGTAATATATTACAAAAAATATATCTTATATCAATAATCACAACTCTTTCTGCTAATTATCAAAACAAATTTATGGAAAAACAAAACCGAAAACAAGAAAATAATTAGAAAAATAAAAAAAATGAAGAGAAAAAATAAAAACAATGAAAGAAAAAAGATAAAAGCA